GGGGGGGGGGGTCGGTGAACCGAGAATCGGGATCATATGATCCCGGTGCGCATGTTTCGGGAATTTCTTGTCGTCAACTTGCACGCGTTTGGCAGAAGCAGTTGCTGTTGGCTTCGTGCGTGCGGCGGTCAGATTAGGCTGCATCAGATCCACCACCCCCCTCCCTTGGCAGGGCTGGATAACAACTTGGCATGTGTTGCTTCGGAGCTCGGCACAAGACACCTCCTTGGCAAAGTCTTTGTCCACCTTCTTGGACTTCTCTTGTGCATCATGGGTTGCTGATTCCACCTTTTCGACCTCAGTGTCCGCACCCTTCGGAGCACTCTGCATAACTGGATTGTCTCAACCGATCAAAGAGGCGTCCTCCTTCACTTTCTGAGAATCTTCGGCTGACTTCTGGAAATCTTCTTTGGCTGACTCGTTCTGCTGCGCACTCGTCTCAGCTGGCTTTCGTGTCGTGGTGTCGCCCCCATCCAACTCTTCGGCAGAGGACAGAGCCTAAGCCAAGACAGCCTTTCGTCTGGGTCTGTGCTCAAGCGTCACTACGCCTGTTTCGATTGCAGCGACGTCGAGCAACAGAGGAAAAGCGCTGGCTCTGCAAGACTTCGCGGGCTTCTGCGGAGTCAAGATGCCTTGGACGTCACAGTTGCACAGCAGTTGAATAACGGGCCTAACTGGCCTAACCGCGTAACGTGGGCCAGAGACAAGTTGCACGGCCAGCTGCCGCTCCAGGCGGAGATGTTCGCTTTGCTCCTGAAACGGGCACAGCTTTTGCACGGCAGGTGGACACACTTCGAAGAGCGTGTGGCAGGTGCCTTGTCCAGGTCACGAGCAGGGCGTGACAAGCCGCCTTGGGCTGAGCCTGCCCCCAGCCGAACAGCATCCGGGCGATCCAGGCCGAACTCCTCTTCCCGACTCGCTTGCGCAGCATGTTGCAAGGATCTGGGACGTGTCTCCATCCTGCTTCGCTGAACCTGCGAAGAAGCGCTTGCTTGCTGTTCCATAAAGCCACGTCCTGTTAGGATGGCTTCACACAGTCGTCCTGGCCTCGAGGTCGGCATCACGGGTAGCTGCAGAGAGATTCAGCACAAGGAGCACAAGTGCGCCGAAGGCGCTGAAGGGCATGAGCCACCAGAGTGGGCCCGAAAACACCCTCACATTACGTGAAAGGCCTGGCGATAACAAAGACACCTGGCTCTAAGCCTCGACTCGAGCCCAAGGTGCGAAAATGGGTGCCCGGCTGCATGAAAATCGCGCTAAGTTCTGCGATTTTGTGGCTACAGTACTCCTAGCTTGGCCATGCCTTCGGTTCCCACTCGATCTGGGCGGCGGCGGCGCACTGCTTGGCTCTTTCGATGGGGGCCTGGGAATATGCCAATCACACCAAAACAGGAGCGAGGGTCCTTGTCCGGGGTGTCTTGCCTGATAGATGGTGCATTGGCCGACCCCCGGAAGCCCTGGCTCGTATGTGCCTGGCGATACATTTCAAGCCCTCGAGGCCCCTGATCTCTGACACCAGCCTCCGAAGCATCAGCACTCAAGCCAGAGTCTGCTAAGCCGGAACGGACGGGAGCGGCAGCATGTTCTGTTCCTGGCAGCTGAAACGAGCTCGGCTTTGGTGCAAATCACAAGCAGCGAAAGCGAGGGCACGATGTCCTCGGACCGCCAGCTCCTTGCCTAGATCGTAGAACGTTTATCGGCACTGCTTGAAACCACGCCGCATGTAAGACCAGTTGCTCTCTGCTTCCGCAAATATTTGACGATTTCCACCCATCTGATTGCGAACCTCGGCGAATCACATGACTGACACTCTTGGCGGGTTCAAGGGGTTATGCCTTCTCCACCAAGCCGTCGAAATCCCGGTGGTCATCCCACCTGCTGCTTCTGTCACTGGGCATTGTGCAAAGCGCACTTCACAGTTCGGCTTATCTTCGTGGCAAACCCGTGAATCCGAGCATGGCCACCATTTCTTGCGGAGCAATCGAATCTTGTCCTGCTGCTCCTTGAGTTCCCTTTTGCACTGATGGTACCTCAAGGATCGATGGGGTCGGGGCGAACGGTAGAACCCCGAAGTGTGCTTATGCAAGAGAGCTCTTCAGATTGGATGCCGAGCAACGCCGGGGGTGCCTTAACCTCCTCCTCATGGACCAGGCCCAAGACTTCACGCACCTCGATTCATCGCTTAGCAAGGTGCGCGGCTTCCAAATTCTAACAAGTAAGCCTCTGGCAGCAGCCACAATGTCAATATCACCTCAGGCATCTGCTACCAGCTGCTACGAGTAAGAGTGCTGTGCAGAAACTTGTCACATTGATACGTCCAGCAGGTACAAGGCTGCAAACACGCTGGGCTTCCACACCCTTGCTCTTCAGCAGAGCTTTCAATTTCTTCAGCTTCGCATCCTCAGTGACTCCACGGAGCACTGCCAAAGTATTTCTCAAAAGTTCTTAACGCCACAAGGGTTCAACATAGATCGACCTGCTTGCCACCAATGCCGCACATGCAACACAACAGTGGGGAGGAAACAAGAGACTTGCAAAGACTGTCGCAGCAACTGTGTTCAGCAGAGATGTCGCCAACATGACAGAAGTCAGAGCAAATGTCTTCACACCCACATCCCGACAATAGCAACTTGATCTTCATCGGGGGGACGATAAGCGCAAGGACGATGAGGAGAATTGCAACTATACACAAGTTCACACACACAGACACACAAACTTGCGACTTCACCTGCAGCCTCCAACCATGTCGGTTTGGGCATCTGGACAGAGCAAAGCTCTTTGTTCTGTAACCAGGGTCAGGGTCCAAACCGGACTCAAGGCTCAAGCAGGGTTTCAATACTTACACCAAGACCGGAAGAGGCTCCGAACTGAAACCCACCACGCTACCCACCACAAAAGGCACTTTGCCTTCTGATCCATCGATTTACGGACGAGAAAAAACTGAGCTTGGCCCAAGGCGGTGGTGTGGTAGCAGGCTTAAGGCTTAAAGCACTCAACGCGACACTCATTCATTATGTGCAGTGAAAAGGTAAACGTAATTGAAAGGTTTGGCCTACCTGGAGACGCCCACCGTAAACGGCTACTCCAAGGCACGCAGCATCTGCTTTCAAAAAAAACGGTTATCTTTGCCTTGCTTTGCTTTAGAGCCAGAGGCCGTCCCTCTGACTCGCGCTGAGGCGCATCCCCATCCACCCTCTAGGGCAGAAAGCGCTCAACTGTGCGGATGACCGCTGGTTCGGTCGTTGTGAGAGGCAAGGAGTCTCCCCGAGTTGCTGTTCCAAGGGGTGTCTCTTACGCACTCAGGTTTGTGCCCCGAACCCGTGGAACAACAGCCTCAGCAATGAAACAACAGCAAACCAGGTGCACAAGAGAAGTTTGCTCAGAGATCGGAGCAACATGGATATAAAGGCGGTCGCGGAAAACCATGCCTGAATTTCTGGACCTCCACTCTCATGTTGGGTTAGGCACGCCTCTTGTGTGGTTGACGAAGTGCAAGTATCGAGTGCCCCCTACAAGCGAATTCAACATGGCTCCCTGACTTTTCAAGCGGGAGCGGAACGAGTTGCACATGGAAGGAGCATAGCTCCAGGGCTTTGGTTCACTGGTGACTTTGTACCATTTGCTTGCAAGGATGGTGTCCACCTGGGATCGGCTCGTGTGCCACACCTTTAGCATGAGGCTTGCCTCCTTGTCCTTTGGGTCCTCCAGTCATGCACCTTGGGCAGCGGCGAATGCCCCTATCATCAGCGGCTGCTGTTTCTTGGTCTTCTTCGTCTGCTCCACCTTTGTCGTTGGTGGGTCCCTCTCCATGGCTGCGTCCTCCATCATACGTATTCTTCGTGGTGTCCCTGCCAATGTCACGAGCTCTCCCTCATGACCCCCCTGCGCGCACGAGTGGGCCCAGCTATCTCTTCTTCCACACGGCCAAAGGAGCACGGTCCCCCGTACCCCCCGCGCGCGCACGCGCCCTGGTACTTGTCGCTGGTAAGACTGCAGAAACTGATGAGGCGGGTATCTCTCTCTCTCTCTCTCTCTTTGATTGGGCATGGGGGACTGTTGAGGTCCCCCGGCCTAGTGGCCCCCATATGTGATGGGGCTTTGAGGGGACGCGAAAAATTATGGGACACTGATGTCGTTGGTGGTTCAGGTTTGGCATGATATCTAGTCCGGCATGATTCTTGTCAACACTGCAGCCTGATGTCCCCACTACGGTTTGATATCTACGTAGAGAGGGTAGTTTGCACGACACGATATCCGCCACCTCACGACAATGTTCCCCTACAGTTCAGACTTTAGCACACCTAGGTGGAAACAACGTGTGCATGGAGTGTCTTCGCATCAAAGAAGAAAGACAAAACTCGCATCAAGGAAATTAGAACAAGCGAAGTTCCCGGGCACACCGCTGGCTAGGCATGGCTTTGAAGTGCATCGCCCGGACTCTTGTGTTTTTCTCTCTTTCTCTCTCTTTCTTTCTTTCGCCAGGCTCTCTTTTTTTCACGAGGGTAAAGAGAGAGGGACTGTACCCTCCCCCTCGCACTCCAAGCGCCCCCATACGTTATGGGCAAGCAGAAATGCTGCAAAGCTGCCCAAGGCAAACAACAGCCGGCCGAAAGTGCAGCACAGAGGCATAGCAGCAATCAAACAGCAAACCACACAGTAGCTAAATGAAATAGCCAGGCTCAGCAGGCTCTCTTGCTTGCTGCAGGATGCTGCAGGTGAAAGACAGAGGCAAGCCCCCATCCTCGCCCGAAGGGGACGCTGCTCTCTCTTCTTCCACAGGGTGCTGGGAGCGTGTCAAGCCACCCGGCCGCTTAGGCCCCCTCATGTTTGTGGGGCACGTGTGCAGGGGTGTGAAAACTACACGGACCGGGTACTATCCCACGCACCAAAAGTAGGCAAGTACGCTACACTATCGTAGACTACGATACCATGCGAAAGCTGCTCTCTCTTTCTTTCCTCAGGGCTGTGGTGCAGGGGTTTCCCCCTACACCGCGCGCGTTAGCGCCCCCGACAGGTGCGGGAGACAGTGAACTTTGCGTGCGCACACCACCGAGGCAGAAATCACTGAACAAGGGCAGCTCTCTCTCTCTCTCTGTCTCTCTCTGTTCCTGTCTTGTTGCACACGGCCCTTAAGTATCTCGTCTCGTTCATCGGCATCCGTCTGGATCACATCGACGATTTCTCCCCAGCCATTGATTCATACATATATATATATATATATACACATACGTATACATATCATTGTGGGTGTGCCACTCTCTTGCTCCGCCGAGGCTGCGGAGTAATCATTCGCATACACACACACACACACACATACATATATATATATATATATACGTATGTATGTATTTATGTATGTA